AGGCATGAGCTCTGAGAAGCGCACAGGACAGCGAACAGGTGGATGGGCATGTGTCCCAAGGACTCGCAGTTTTGGCTGAAGCTGGGCACTGGCAGTGGGATGCTCTGGACGGGTGACACGCAGCAGGGAGTACAGGCAAGGGCTGAAACAGGGCTGGTTTGCTTTTTGAAACAAAAGCAAAGAGGTCTGCACTGTCAAAGGCCTTTTTTCTGAACAGGGGACCAAAGCAGACAACTTCTTGCCTTTCACTGACCCGGCAGTCCCTGGTGTCAGTCTGATCCTAGAAGGGAAACAGCCAGGAACTCAGGAGGGACAGCAGCCTTGGAGGGTCAGTCTAAGCGTGCAGTAAACAGCTCTGAGATGGAAACAGCTTCAGACAGATGGCTGGGCATATCCATAGGCTACCAAGTTCTCATTTTGGTTTGGATCAGCTTTTTTCAACCTTCACTAAGGCATCTATTTCCACCTGTTTTTCTAAAGGCATGCAAGCCACCCAGCACATCCCTCTGCCTGGGTGACGGGTGCTGGGACCAGCCTCCCTCTGCTGCACTGTTTGTCCTTCCCTCACAGGCTCTCAAGGTAGGATTGTTTTTATTAGTTTTCTGATAATACCTGGCACTACAGAGAAATAGAAACTTGCTGTCACAGTCTCAGAGCCTGAACCAACATTATATGAATGAAAGAGAGAAACGGCGACGTGAATCATTGAGTGACTGCAGAGTTCAGCATGCCTATCACTTCCTTTTCAAGGATGCCTTTGTTATTGCAAAAACATGTGTAAAGAATCATACAGCTGCTCAGTAATGCTGCTGTCACAGCAAATTCATTTTCTGCAGAAGAGAGGAAGAGAATAGCAGAGTTATATACACTTGCAACCAAATCTGCCCCTGGTTATCACTTCTGCCTTAGCAAGAGCTGACATCCTGCCTGTTAAGAATATTATCAGAACAAAGACATGGAGAATTTTGCTGTTGAGCAGCCTATTTTCAGACAGTTTCATGGGGAGGGCATTTTATAAACAACGTGTTGGGACTTCGACAGAATTAAATACAAATAACTCGAACTTTCTATTGACACCAATTTTAAAATTCCTGAGCACCAGCTCCCTGACATGGATGTTGGCCAGGCAGTCCTCCCACTCCCCCCTGAGTCCAGAGCACCTCCGCTGCTACCTGTATCCCTGTGCACAGCCAAAGAGCCCTGCAAAGCCATCGATGTTAGCAGCTTCCAGCTCTGGCTAAGGGAATATGGCATCATTGTCCTAACCCAAACCTGAATTCCCATTGACAATAACAGAGCTTAGCCAGGTAATAGTCTAATTACTTTAGGCTAAGCTTCCAATTCTTCATTGTTAGATCAAAAGGTCTTCAAATACCATTACCACCATTTCTGCCGATTTGATAACGAGCTGGGAGGCACACACCGCTGTGTGGCAGGCACTAAGAGCTACACAACCATTGCATGAGCATCTGGAACTTCTGATACCCAAGAGTGATAAGTATCTGGCAAAGCAGAGTACTTTTCAGATTGTAATACTTTTTACAACACCCTCCCCAACCAAATCCAAACCCCCACCCAGCTGTTTTCCAAAGGTCAAAGTCAAATGATTGCTGTCCCAGTGCAGTGAAACCCAAATGACTCACCCAACTGAACCAGGACATGGTGCTGTGAGATAGAATTGTTTTACCTTATCTGTGCCCATTTCCTAACTCGGAAAGAATGAGAAGCCCATGACAAGTGAATTCAGCATTATTCAGAAATTGTATCAGGATACAGCTGGATATCACGGTAAACTCTACAGCACCAAAAATTTCATGGAGATTATTGCAAGGAGCAGATCTGCTCCGAGAGGTGCGGGTTCAGCCTCAGGTTTTAAGTGAAGCAATGGAAAATACTCTCTGAGCATCTCTCTCGTTCTGGAGAACATGGTGAGATTTCCTCTCGGTACTCCAGAGCGTGTATGGAGATCTCTGCTCATACGATAAGGCATTCAGAGGAGGAATAAAACACTCTGTATCCTGGTGACAGTCTCTGCATGTTTTCTAAAACATTATTTTAATAAAAAGGTCAGGTCTATCACATGGCGTACAATTCTGCAGTGTTTCAATACATGTTCTTAAATAAGCACCGAAAGAAAAGTGTCATCTCCTCTTAGTCCTCTTTGAACATACATTTACAATGACAAGACATCTCACCAGTCTCCTGTTATGAAATTATAATTTACATACAGAATCTCTTTATTCATTTAATTATCTCTTTAAAACCTGGATTTAACCAGATAGATAAAATCACTTGTTTACTGTATAAAATCCCAGTGGAATTTTGCCTGAGGACTGAGGGCTGAACTCTTCAGAGACTCTCTGCTTTAATTCATATGTATTTTATAGCACTAATTTCACTGAAACTTGAGTGAAGCTAAGCCAATCAGATGCTTGCAAGAAATTAGTTATCCAAACTTCATAATTCATACACTTTTAACTGTGTTTGTTTAATTATTGAGAATGACAGTTGCTGTTGGAGAACAAAGCAAATAAAATAAAAGTGAGGCAAAAGATGGAATATTGCAGTACCATTTCAGAAAGTTTAGTAAAAGTTACCAAAACTGAGTATATGATCTTAATTTGGCAAAAGACTCAAGAAATCATTATACAGATTCATTTATGATTACATTCTACTTGTCTTTAATTTTCACTGTTCAACATTAACATTAAACATCGTAAATGTATGCAATATTTATATAAAATTAAATAACAATATTGGAAAAATAAATACACTTTTACATAAATACATAATTCCATACCGCTGAAAAGTTTCAGCTAATACTATACTCTTGTTTCAAAAGTGACCAAAAAAATATGGTAGTGACACTCCATCCCAACAGATGAAGTAGGTACAGCTACTGAATGATGTTTGCAACCAATGACAGAGCTAAAGCAAATCCAGGTGATACCACACTAAGGAAATAAAAATTTGGACGTTACTACCTACAGTAGTAGCACGAGGTAGACATATATGGGGAGTATTTTGCAGGATGGACGCAAAGCCCTGTTGACCCCATAGATACAATTCAGTCTTCAAACAGCTCTGGGGTCCCCTGCATCAGAGCCAAAGGATACCTCGGGAATAAGACTGAAAAAATCAAGTCACTTTGTGGCAAGGAGTGGGGCTCAGCTCTGCAGCCCCTTCAGGGGGTCTGCCAGCCCCATGGGCAGCCAGGAGGAGATGTCACAGGCAGGGTGGGATGCCCCTGCCCTCTGCCCATTTGACCGACATCCTGCCTGTTCCCAGGAGACCGAGCAAAGGACAACCCACCAAGGTTAATATGACTTCGTAAAGTCAAGGGAATTTTTCCTGGGTGGGAAAAAAACCCAACCCCAAACCAAAATTCAGGACTGTGCCCTGCATTTCCAACATGGAGGAGCAGACACAGCCCTGGAGCCTGCTTCTGACTGGCTGGAAAGGCTGAATGACACCAAAATGCAACACAACTCTGTGCACACCTTTGGTTCTTGCAAATGGTCCAGCGCAGGTAACAAAGGATGGCAGCAGCTCCCAGCTGGTAACTCTGCAGGGAAGCCACCGCATGGGCTGCGAGCTCTGCTTAGCTCACCTCGCTCATTGTTAGCACCAACGATATCAACGTACAAGTGATACATTAGCACCTCAAATGAAATATTTAATTTCACTGTCCCTTGGACTGGTGAAGCACCATATAAACACCAGTTCAGCAGTTTTACGGCTGGTGCATAACTCACTGAGGTATGGTAAAAAAATTGAGGCGCGTTACTGAAGGCATCTGCGTCACTGAAAGCACCCGCAGAAACCAGAGTGCGGTTACGTTTGAGCAAGATGACTTTTCAAACCATGACAATTAAGGAAGTCCAATACATTACCAACAGGCTTCTCTTTTTCTTTTCTATAAAGTGCTCTTGAGTCAGATTAATTTTTTTTTTAAATCTTCTTCAAATGCTTTTATAACAAAATACACAATAAAGGTTGACATTTGTTTGAAGGCCACTCCAAAACCAGCAGGTCCATTGTTTCCAGCACACCAGGCAGTACTTGCCTTCGTGCACTGGGGCTCCGCGCCGAGCAGAAGGTGCTGCTCTGGGCAGGGAGAATTTCAAAGTTGTGGGACCCCAAAGAGCATCCCAGGGCTCAGGGCTGCTCTGCCCTCCCAAGAGCATCTCTGTAGCAGACTCCTCCAGCAAAAAAGGAGCAGCGTGAGACACCTCTGCTCCAAACACTGTTTTGTTATTAGAAAACTCCCAGGGTTTTAAGCCTTCCACCACCTTGCTGATCTCTTGCTGACTTTATGATATCTAGAGCAACAGCTGGAGATCAGGCCAGACAATAACTCTCCAGAACCAGAGAGATGCATGAGAATTGCTTACAAGTGCCTTTGCACAGTATATCACATTCATATTATATATACATGGGAAAAGAAATAGAGCCTGGGTGTGAATGCACACATGTTTCTATATAGCTGCGTGTGGGAGTGGGCAGGGACATGTACACACATCTATACACACCTGTACGTGCTTGGGAGTCGATGCAATTGAGTATACGTTTTTCCCCTGTCATCTTGCTTTTGGCAGAGAACACACGACTGGTAAACCAGGAGGTGCACAGTGCAGCATTACCGTGAAATACCAGAACAATTTAACTTCAATGGAAATGTACTGCTTAAATGCCAGGTTTAAATCCATATGCAAAGAACTCAGTCAGAACCAAGACTCATAATGCACAGTGCTCGCACAGTGTAATAAAATGGACAAAGGTGGCTACTTAGCAGAAAGTGCCTTTTAAATTAAAGGACTCGAGCTCCCCTAATGCAAGCCCTTCCTGAACAGGCGTTACTCTGAATATATGGTCAATAATCCTCTTTAAGTTCAGTTTTAAGACATGAAGCGTTAGCACCTTGGTTTGAAGCAAATTAAATCTGTTGTTACAGGATATCCACAAAACTGTTCACAAAGAGAAAGAGTTTATGGTCGTACCGAGCTCCAAGGACCAGCGCTCCAGGCAGCATCTCTAGGACAGTCCTGCACATTGCACTGCTCTCTGTCTGGCGGCTTGTCAAGGATTTCACAGCTCAGATCCGTAAACCTTTCTCCGTTCGGGCGCTGGCACACCACCAGCCGTGTTCTCGTCCCTGCCCCACATGGCTTCGTGCACTGGAAGTCAGCAGAGGACAGAGGAATCACCATCTGGGCAGCACAAACACTGCCGGCCGGTTGCTCGAAGCATTGAGCACCTCTGAAGACCTGATGGTTGTTTCTGTTACCAGCCAACCCACTTCAGCCAGATCCCCCCAAATGCTGTGTGAGCCTCAGATGGGGCATCAGCTGCTTCAGCTTCTTTCTTCCCAAAGCCACTTGTGCTGCTCCACAATGATACTGCCAGATCCAGTGTGACACTGGAGGTTCATGTCTCTAATTGCTCGTCTCACACAGATTTTCAGAAGGGAGCAGTGTTTTTATTAAGAAAAAAGGCTTTCACTTAAATTAGACTTCTCTTAAAAAGAAAGAAAAAAAACCTTCAAACTTTGTAGAATTTGCTTTTGCCTGGGAAGAAAATTTTCCCTTGACAAATGGAAAGAAAAACACCACCAAGCAGTTGCTAGGGTTCCCTCATTTATCAGAGGCTGCCTTTCATGCTCCAGACTTTCTAATAAATGTCACTGCAACATCCCTCTCTTCTCCCATTTTTCAGCCACCCGCTAATGAAAGCTTTCCCCTGCACAGGGAGCTCAGGATGAATGGGGCACTCACCTCTCCCCAGTTGCCATAAGCCCACTGAGGACAGGGGCCAGATTCGCACGATCTCTGCTCCATGGGTTTGCTTTTCTCATCGCAGTTATTTGCGGTGTATCCGTTTTCATCCTGGCACACCACGACCCGTCGCTGGAACCCCCCTGCACATGTGCTAGAGCACTGGAAGACACAATTACACATGGCTTTGTTGAGTCCAGGAATAATTTTGCATTCCCAGCTCCTTCCCAGCACCTTGCACCGTGGGAACGCACCGCTAGAAATTTAATACAGCTAACAGGCGTTATTAACTTCAAAACCCAGCTATTTCTAATAGCAGTGCAATGACTTAGGGCTGACTAAGCAAAGAAAATAAACACAAGCCTAGTTCTAAGCAGGTGAATAATCCCCACTGCATTTAACACAGTGTTTGACATCCCATTTGTGCTTAAGTCCCTTTAAGGACTTGTGCGATAAAGTGCTGCAAAGTGGTTGGGGGGGGAACAGCTGGCATTAAGGCTCTGCTGTGCTTTGGCAACAGCTCTGCACAGCTGTAAACGTTCTGGGAGACGACCAAGAAGCAGAGGTTGGCCTTTGCATCATGGAAAATGATGCTGTCAGCTTTCTGCCTGGAGAGCCTTGGAGATACAAGGCACGAGAGGCTGAGAAGTGATACCTGCACCCTGGCTGCAACACTTGGTCGTGTGAGCAGAGTGCAGAAAGCGGGGAGAAGGGTCCCTCTTCTCTGTGTGGTGACATTAAGAAAAGCCTTGATTAGCCCGGAAAACAAAACAAAACACCAAAACCCAAAAAACCCAAAACCAAAAGCACACAAAAAAATGCAAGAAAGAAAGTCGGGGCACTTACAGCACCCCAGGGGCCAATCCTCCACTGATTGCCGCCCGGTATATGTGCACGGTTTCGGTTGGGACTGCCTCCAGGGTGCAGTTTCAGGCGATGATCCGGATAGAGGAAAGGGTGGATGGGCCTGCCGTAGTCATGGCTGTTTGGATGACAAGGAGACATGGAGCAGTCTTGCTCGGTGGCGGGGAGGTCTTCTGGATCGCACTCACTCCTATCCACCAGCTGGTCACTGTAATTGATGCAGATCACTTGTCGCGTTGCCTTACCTTGACCGCAAGTCACCGAGCACTGCGGTACAGTGGGAAAAGGAGACACAGTCACATTTCCAGCTTTGAAAATCAGACAGGCAGCTATTGCTAAAAACAAACAGCAGAAAACCTTCATCTCCCCACTTATAAAAGTGTAAACGTGACAGACTAATGAAGCGTGTTTCCAGCAAGGAGGTCTATGAGACTCTCCTGCCAGAGCCAGTGTGATGCTTACAGAGCTCCACTCCAAGGCCTTCCACTGCCCGCACGGCGTCACGGTGCACATTTCTGTGGCTGATGGCTTCGGGAGGTGGAAACAAGCTGACTCGTCGGCCACCGAGCCCTGGTCATCTCGACAGCTGACATATCGCATCCGGGTACCCTTCCCACACGTTGCAGAGCACTAGGAAAGAGCAAGAAGCATTCCACTAGAAAGTTTTTTGCTATATATTGGCTTTGGAATAAAAACTTGGTCAAATGCACTTAAAAATATCACATTGTCTACTGTAAAGTAGTCCCGAAAGTATTACGACACACACTTACTGGTGTCCAGGATCCAAATCTCCACTGTGTCCTGTGAATGCCCGATATAGATCTCTTGGCTTCGGGACTGTTTGGATGGGGAGGACATGCTGCTATTTCACAGTCCTGTACATGAAACACGTGAGAGAAAAGACGGAATAAGAATTTTCAGATGTTTCAGTTAAACCACCTCCTCTCCGATGTAATTATCCACAAGACTCAATGTCCTGAAAATCTGTGACTTGCATGCTTGTGTGTTGGCAGGCTTTCTCCTTGCATCCTTTTGGTGAGTCAGCACAATTTGGTATCAACACCCTGAGAGCTCCACATGCAGAACCGCAGTGGACGTTTGATTTCTTTGGAACTCCACAATAGGGATCCCCATAACCATATGCCATCTCTGTGCATGAAAAGCAGATGTTTTTGAGGCAAAATATGAAAGTTCAATAAGAGAGCTCTGGTATGAACGCACATCCACAAAGCAGCAACTTTATCTCCTTTCAAAGCTCCCTTCCTTCAGCGTGAGACCTGCAGCCCACTCAATAAAGGTTATGCTGCTGAGCCAAATGCAGCCCTTTGATTCCCTGTAGCCCACCAAACCACCTATATCCATGTGCTGACCTTCACCACGCACTAAGCATGCAAGGTTTTGTGGACAGGCATGTCATTCTGCTCAGTCTTAGTATGGTGCCTAACAGGAGGGCTCTGGTCCCGCCTGGACCTCCTGGGAGGTCTGGCAACAGAAATGATGAATAGCCATGACTTTACTCCATGAGCCTACGAGTAGTCATTGCCAAAAAGGAAATTAATGCCGATCATTACTGCAAGAGAGAGCGGCTCTTGACAAATAGCATCAATGATTTCCGCATTGCTGTGATTTTACTCACGCTGGAGACATGCACGCCAAGTGATGGCTGATGCCAAGTGGGTTTGCTACCCCCTTGACTGCAGTGCAATTGGTCTCCATACATGGGAAAACCAGCCCTTTCCTAAATGTTGTGGCCTTAGTTAAACTCTGTGAAGTCATGCAAGACTGAAGCCGGGCAGAGCATCAGCACTACGACTTCGGAGATGACAGACAGATGGTAACGTTCTGCTTTATTCAGCTCCTTCAAATACCATGGGCACATCCTCTACTTGAAATGGGAATTTACACATTTGCTTCCAAATACCAGTGAATATAACATGGAAAGCCTCTTCAGCAAATTTGCAAAGCGTGTGCAAAATTTCCCAATTTATCCAGTCAGGAGGGATGCGTCTGGACTTGTAGCTGGCAGATACACTATATTGTCAGCAGACAAGAAGTGATGGCCCCTGGTCGTCATTAGCACCACACAGCAACGACCCTGCAGCCAAGCGAGCCCAGACTGCAGCCAGGCACCCCAGACCCCAGGCACGCCAAAGCAGGTGTACCATTCTACTCTCTGGTTACCTTCCCATGTTCATCTACTGCCACTGCTTTGCCTCACGAGATCTTGGAGACCAGCTTTAGCTCTGAATTTGGGCAGCCCCTCGCACATCCCACCCTGTGACTAGAGCTCGGCGGATAAAAACCATTAGCAAAGGTAATCTTTGCCCCATCCCGGTGCCCTCATAACGAGCTGTCCGTTGCCTTTTTGGCAATCTGGTGTTTCAGAACCTAAGGTTAACCACATGGAGAGGGCCTGGATGGGAACTCCTCAAACACAGCTTCTCCATCCCACCTCTACTAGAATGAGACGCTGTGCTGCACCTCTCCAACAGCCACAGAGCAGACCAACATACTGCATGGGCTGATGCTCAGGACAAGCCTTTGCTGCAGCAAGACATCCCCCAAAGCCGCAGCCTGGATGCCTCCATACACATGCTAGCAAAAGATGGAGCCAGGATAGCAGGATTTACCTGGGTATCTGTTGGCCTGGTTGCAGCGTTACACTCGTTATCATCCACCACGGACATGTAGGTGCCCACGACACACTTCACCGCCCTCATCTGGTAGCCTTGGCCACAGGTCATCGTGCACTGGGAGAGGACAGATGGGACAAAATTGCTGGGTCTGAGGAGCTGCTTTGGTTAGAAAGGATTAATCAGCCCAGCCCGTGTTTAGGCACATAGCAGGGTCAGCAAAAATAAAACCCAGCTTCCCTTCTGGTTTCTCTCCACTTCATGCATTTCAGCTTTAAATTAGGTCGAAGTTTTAATTCACTGGGCCCACCAGAGCCTCGCATGCTTCACTTGCTTCCTTGGGAATGAAAGTGTGAGCACTTAAATGATTTATTTTGCTGCACACAGTAAATCATAGGCTGGTAGCACCTGCATCATATGCTTCTTTAAAATTGGTTGTTCAGCTCCACGGTAGCACAGGCGGCTAATGAATAATTTTGCTGATGGGAAATAAGTCTGACTGGGACAACTGGTCTGGGTTTGTTGCTGTTTTTTTAAGTCAAGAACTAACAGCTTTGTGGAAGAGGAGATGTCAGAACACTCTGGGAGAAATAAGCAACTTGTATTTTAACAGAAGAATAAAACCAAATAACTCTCACCAACCCAGAAACTGGAAAACATTAAAAGAAACAAAAGCTATTTAATGGGAGCAGATTTTCTATGAAAATTGGGCCATGTATTTACATGCCTAAATATGGATTTAGGAGCATAACCTTGGAAACTTTTTTTTTTTTTTTTTTGGAAAATCACAGACAATGTAGTATGACACAGATTAAATTTAGCACAAACAGCAGGTACTGTTATTGCTGCTCATCCGCTGAACCTAAGCAAGCAGAGGGCTGCTTTGGTGTGCAAATGAATTAACACAGTTACGCCGCCGAATTCAGACGAAAGGGCAGCACCCAGCCTCGGTCAGCAGCACCCAGGTCCCCCCGGCTGGGACCCCCGCGGTGGCTCTGCGGTACCTGTCCCCAGGGCCCCACTTGCCACGAAGCACACTCCTGCTGCTGGCATGTCTGCACTGACTCCGGCTTCGTTTCAGGATCACAAAACCTGTCGTTTAACCGATCTTCTCCAAACTGGCACCAGGTCTGGCGGTGTTTGTGCCCCTTTCCGCAGGTGACCAGGCACTGCCGGGAGCAAAGCACAAGCTCAGGCGGTGCCGGGGATGCGCTGCCAGCCCAGCACCTGCCCCGGCACTCAAAAATAAACATGGAGACCCATGGCAAACCATGGAAAACATGCAAGTGTCTTTGCAACGAGACAGGATTGCTCCCAGGAGCTGGTCCAGAGCAGAGGCTGAAGCGTGGCGAGCACAGCCAGGCTGGGACCCCTCGGCATGGGCAAAGGGAGACCACAAAGGCTCTTGACTTCCAGCTGCTGTCAGACGTAGGGCACAGCACTGCCCGACGGGGCTTTCACTGGGCACAACAGGGTGCCAAAGGCTCACAGAAAAAACTTGCTCAGCTCTAGGAGTGCAATAAGGGTCTCAGCTCCTGCAAGTGACTCTTCCATCACCCCAGCGTGGCTTCAGCTGGCAGCAGCTCGACCCAGAAGACTGACATTTTGCAGAGAACAATCCCTGTTCTCACGTCATTTCATAGACTCATAGAATGCTTTGGGTTGGAGGGGACCTTAAAGATCATCTAGTTCCAACCCCCTTGCCATGGGCAATAACTTCTTTCATTCTTTCCTAAAAAAACATGATTCACAGAAATGAGAGGTATTTGGCCACAAAGGTGACGTTTCTCTGGCATCCTCGGTCCTGCTGCAGGGAAAAGCCTACCAAGATACAGTTCTGTCGCATTGCAAAGGACACTGCAGAGAAAGAGGCAATAAACCAGCAGGGAGAGGGCTGACGAAGACATTCATAGGGTGAAATCCTGCCCTCCAGTGACAGCCAGAGCTGCCAGGGCTCCTGAGGACAATCTCAAGGGAAAATGAGGGCAGAAGGTATATTTCTTCCCAAAGCTACAGAGGGAAACTGTGGAAAAACTGGGGAAAAAATATGGCAGGACTGGAGAGGAATTAGCCCACTGTGGTTTTGCAGGGAGGGAATCGGCCACTTGGCCAGTGGTGACAAGACCAGTGGCTTTGCTGCCTGCCCCAAACTTCCCTGTGCACAGGCTTGGGGAGACCTTCTGCAGAGGCACAGTGCCACCAACCCTGGGGCATGAACAAAACAGGAGGGATGAGCAGGGCCAGAGCTATCTCTCTGCAGGCACCAGCCCTCGGGGTGAGCCCACCCTGGTGACCAGCACCTACCTCGGACCAGTCGCCAGTTTTCCACTGGGGGCACGAGAAGTCACTGCATCGCTGCACCGTCAGCTTCTCCTGCTGGCTGCACTTGCTGTCGTCCAGGATGTCATTGTAGGTGTTCACGCACATGGCTCGCCGCCGCCGCGTGCCCCCGCCGCAGCTCTTGGAGCACTGGGAAGGACAGACGCTGAGTAAATACTTTCTGCCACCCTATTACAGGCTGAGAGCCCATTCTTTGCCTTCTCTCTCTTAGCAGTCAGGACTGTGAAGAGACTGCAGAAAACCTCCGGAAGAACAATTTGTACTTTAAGTAACAGGCCGTTACTTTATATATTCCTTTAAAAATCCAGTCTTGCTAAGCTTAATAAAATCTCATGGCAACGAGTTTCACAAATTCATTTCAGGTTATAACTCCATTATGACTTTTACAAGTGTTGCCTTTCAGTTCTCCCAAATGGCTCGTGCTTGTTCTCAAAATGAGAATGATTAATGAGAGATTAATTCTCCCTAACCAGCCAGCTCAGCTTCACTGTCCCCTCCCTGGAAAGCCCCAGGCTTGTCATTCTCTTGGTGCTGGGTCTGCATTCAGGAATATTCTTGTTCACTACGAAGTGTAAAGGAAACAAATTTTGAAAGTCCTCTGCTGATGGTCCCAGCAGCAGGGCTGGCTTTGATGGGAAAAGACAGCCAGCACAGCTCAGCCTAACGAAGACAAACCTTGAGATACTTAAAAGAGTAAATTCACTGCAGTGGGAAATGAGGAGTACCAGGCTGATCCGGACTATGATGTCCTCCAGAAAAAACAATAGAAGCAGAACCACTATGGCCAACTTTCATATACTGCATGCATCCTAAACAGCCCAACAGCCCCATGCGAGGAGGAGACAGCATCTGCTGTACCGCTGAGCATCCCTTACCTCGGTCCAGGCCGAGTACCGCCACCCTCCCACATTGCAGTCTCCAGTGCACTTCTCCCTGGTGCTCGGCTTGGGCTGGCTGCTGCAGAAGCGGTCGTCCACCTTCTCTATCTTCCCCTCCAGCCTGCTGTACTTGGAGCAGTAGATCTCCAGGGTGCGGTACCCCAGCCCACACTGGGCTGTGCACTCGCTCTTCCTTGCGATGTGCCACCTGAGCCGAGGAGAGCAAACGTCAGCCCTGGTGCAGCAAAAACCCACCAGCCCACGTGAAGGCACCCGCCGTGGAGAGGATCAGAAGAGGCAGAAGGAGCTGTGGGGCTCTGCAGGTAATGTGCTCGGGGGCGTCTGACATAAATGAGGAATATATGGTCTTGAACTGGAAGTTTTGGATCTTTACAGTAGTTCCCAACACTTTGTGGTTTTCAAAAAGATGAAGTAATTAATGCTGGCATTGCTCCTTGGAGGGAAGGAGTTGTCACCAGGTCCCTCTCACGGGCAACAAAGCCACGCTGGGACCCGCAGGACCCTGTGAGGCGACGGGGACCATCTGTGGCCAAGCAAGAAGTGCTTGGAAGGCTTTCCACCCCACGTTCCCTTGCAGGAGTGCCACTAAAAATGAAAAGCTGAAAAATACAGTGTCAGCAAATGATCCGTGCAGGCTGGAAAGGTGTGACAAGGTGGCAGGATGCCTGCAAAACAGTTTCAGCTCTCTAAAATGCGAGCGAATTACTTCCTTCAAGACATATGAGCCCCAGAGGTGTCAGCAGGGATTAGGGGTGTTCCCTCTCAACAGACAGGTTCCCACCCTGGTGCCTCCTTCCTGGGATGGTCAGCAAGTGGCCCTTGAGGACCCACCAGGGGAAATGTCCCCATATTACCAGGGGATACATCTCCATGTTACATCAGCCCCAGCTCCAGCAAGAGATGCTGGACACGGAGCCTGACTCGGGGAGATGTCGGAGACCCTGGATCCAACAGGAGCTGGTTTTCCCTGTGCCTGGCAGGGATGGTTCCTGGGGCAGGAGGCAGTGATATCCCTGTGGTTCCTGGGGACCCCGGGCTTCTGCCAGCGCCTGTGTGGGGAGTGCACTAAGGCACTCCTAAGCCCAGAGAACAAACGACAGCAGAGCCAGGAGAAGAATAAGATCAAGGGGCTTTGGAGTCAATAGCTCCTGAATGGCGAGAGCCCTCACATCCACGCCTGCTTTTCAAACTCCTGCGTTTGCCCTTCTCAAGTTTCCAACCTGTTGCAATGGCAACAGCTGTTACCGCGACAACCCGACCTACAGCCCCTATAGAGCCCCTATAGAGACCCGGGTTTAACACAGGCGGAGAAACCCCTTGGGAAACACAGCCATCTGAATTGCTTCACCCGCAGCCCTTTAATGCCACCATACTTCAGTTCCAGAAAGAAAAACAGATTGCTTTTTAAAGCAAAATGAGTTGCGATGATTTAGGCATGCTCCATCAATTCCAGCTCACCAGGAGTCGTCTGGGGACAGCCCCAAACCCGCTCGACACTTAGGCCCATTCTTCGCTTTAAGCAAATGATGATAAATCCGAGTCTTAGTTACTCTTTGCTTTGAGCATATGCTTTCTCCCCTCTATGCAGGCTGTTTGTAGGATGGTGCTGAACATTTCTGATCCAGGCAGATGTAAATTTCAGGCACTGTATTGCACAGGAAGATTTTTCAATTTTTTTTTTACTAGTTAGCACTGATTTAATCCAGCAAGAGAAATGTGATAATGTAGAAAAGTGCCTCTCAAAACATAGCTGGTAGATGTTGATCCCTCTTCATTGACAAAGAGGCAACCGCTAATCTTTTTCTTTTTTTAAAATCTAATACAGGCTGGTGAAAAAAGGAATTATGGTGAGAGGTGAAAGGAAAGAGGAGTAAACAATAAATATACGATGTAATGTATACACACGGCTGAGTAGAGTGCACCTTAATTCACATTCTGTGCCACAGGGCTCGGTGATGGGGTCAGGCTGGGGAAGTCGATCACATCGCTGGTCTGACACCGTGAGCTGATCCGACTCTCTTGTACACACGGGTTTCCTTTTTCGTTCTCCTACACAGAAAAAAAAACCCCACATATTGTTTAAGTCATACAGGAAAGTGATCAAATCAGTTATTTCTCTTACTTCTTTTATAGTAGCAATTAAGAGCCATTTAATTATGCTTTAAATCTCTTTCAGTACCAGGGAGGGGGTTAAGACTCTCTAAGAAGAGCAGAAGGGGTTTAACTCAGGGATAGACACAGGCAGAGCTGCAGCACGCCTGCAAGGACAGGCTCTGCACCTCCAGCAGGGTCAGCACTGCCCGGTGGGAACCCCAAAACAGACACCGATGCCTTCTGCAGCCTTAGGAAATGCCACGTAACCTCTTCTGCACTTGAGTTTTCTCACCTGCAAACCAGGCTGCAAGGCTGCCCTGGCTCGAAGGGGCTGTGCACTGAGCAGAGCAGTGCTGTGCCTCCTGCTTTAACACCTACCCTACAGCCTGGGGAAACAAGCACGCCCATAATGGGAGAATCTCAAAGAAAGCAAATGGAGAAGGATTTAACAGCACTGCCCAGACCGCAGGTGAATCCAGGAGAAAACTCTGTCTTCTTTAAAGCCTTCCCAAGCACCCACCTTGGCAGAGCTTACTGCAGGGTTGCCACGGGCCATACGCGTTCCAGTAAAACTGCTGAGGTTTGTCCTCAATGGGGATATTAAACGTGTAACGAACGTCGGGATTGTACAAATTGCCCACTGATAAAACCTGAGGGGGAAAAAAGATGAAGCAGAGTCAACTAACAGACTTTGCTGCCCGCTGTTTTCAGTGCAGTGATGCTGGGCAGACTTTTCCACACGCACAACATATACTTCACCTGAAGCGTTATTTCTTGCTCAATCCGATCTGTAGAATTAATCCTTTCAATAGTATTATCCGATCCGCTGTATTCGATCACAGCATTCCCAACTTTGATTTCCCTTTTAAACATACTGACGACAAAGTCTCCATTTAATATAAAGTCTCCTTGACTGTTAGATAAGGCTGCATAGGTGCAAAAAACAAGAACTAAAGACACAGAATTAACTCAGACGTACACAACAACGTGGGTCATGCACTCTCCTTTTTGTTGGGGTGGGAGGAAAAGCCCACTGGCACTCTCAAGCAGAAAGGATGTAAAGAGAGCAGCAGAGCTCTTACAAACACTGTGCCTTCTCCTTTTCCCACTGGAGAGCCTCATTAACACCAAGGCTAAATGCCTACGGTTGTTGCTAAATAGTTCACCCACAATCCAGGGCAGAGAGATACCCCAAAGGCATGCCGGGCCGGCTGCTGTACGCAGCACACACAGTCTGCATCCCCCCATATACCGCAGAAATAATCCTGCCCAAATCTTGTTGTTAGCCATGCAGATAGGCTGGCCTCCTTGTTGTCTCCAAGTGTGTTCGCAGGGCAAATGCATGTACCCTCATCACCCAAACGTCACTTTCCAGTAGATAATTACAGGGAGTTTGGTCAGTAT